CACACACACACACACACACACACACACACACACACACACACACACACACACACACACACAGACGATCAGGGCGTGATCAGTGTCCTATACGATCAGTTTAAACCACGTCAGTGTCACACACGCTCCTGTCATTAGCTCTGTGCACTGACGCAGCATGTCTGTGTTTGTATGGACACATTTTATTACTGAAAAATCTATGGTTAGCTTAAAAATCCGCCTGCAGACACCAAAGGGCGACTGGCCGTTTGATCTGTGTGTGTGTGCAGTCAGAGCACACTCCTGTCTGTTTGATCATTCCTCCCTAAGCTTCCTTCCCTACGGTCAAATGAATAATCCACAAAACTCGCAGCTAATGCAACTTTCATTCAGACACATCTTCAAAGAGACCTCGCTCTCTCTGCTCTTCTTCTCCTTCTCCTCTTTCTCCTCTCCAGCCCTTTTTAACACTCACCTCCCTCTCTGCACATACACATGCATAAACTGTGTTAAACACCATTAATAACCACATTCGTGTAATGCACACACTGATTAAGGAACTCTGCTGACCTAACCTCTGAATTTAGAGTTATTTGGATTTATGTGAACAATTTATAATCACTTTACTGTCTGGAGGGACGTGCTGCTTCCTGTAGGCTCCGTGCACGCTCTCTCCGTGCACGCTCTCTCCGTGCACGCTCTCTCCGTGCACGCTCTCTCCCTGCACGCTCTCTCCCTGCACGCTCTCTCCCTGCACGCTCTCTCCGTGCATGCTCTCTCTGTGCATCCTCACTGCACAGACAGAGCATCTTAATTTAAAGAGAACCTGTTAGTCTCAGCTCCAGCCCTGTTAGAGCAGCTTTGCACGACTCTCTGTTCAAAATAATCCTTATTTATCTTATGCTTGATCCCTCTGCAGTCTGAAATAAGCCACCTGTTCAGTTTCACTACTGCTTTCCTTTCTTCCTTTTTTTATCCTTCCTGCTTTAATATTCTTTTCTTTCTTCCTCCCTCCCTTCTTTCCTTCCTTTCTTAATATTAATATAATATAATATTCCTTCTGCCACTTCCTGTCCTTCATTTCTCTTCCTTCCTACATCCCTTCCATCCTTTCTTGATGCACACTACAAAAAGTCATATTATTACCTGTCCTTGCTTGCTCCCTCTGCCTTTCTGTCTTCCTTCCCTACCTTCCTTCCTTATTTCCTTCCATCCTTTATGTGTGCGATAGAAAAACAATCATATTGTCTCTTGTTCCTTCTTTCCTTGTTAACTGTTGTTCTTCCCTTTTTTCTTTGTTCCTCTCTTCCACCTTCATTTCATCCATCCATCATTCTTCTTCCTTCCCCCTTTTTTCTCTTTTCTTCCATCCTTCCTTATTTCCTACCTCCCTTCATTCCTTTTTGACCTTAGATCATCTTTCTTTGCTTTCTCTTTGCTTTCATTTCTTCCTCACTTCCTTCTCGCAATCCTTCTTTCCTTCCTCCTTCCATCTCTTCTCCCCTCCTTTCCTTTCTTCATGTACGGAAGAAAAAAGGATGGTGCACAAAAGAAGCAATGAAGAAGAGGAAGCGAGGAATCAGAAAGGAGGTGGAAAAATGAGTAGTGGGACATAATGAGACAGAAAACAAATTTGAGTGAATGTGTGGAAAAGGAAACGAAGGAATTAAAGGACTGAGAAATGGTTTGTGTGGAGGAGGAAGAGGAGGAGGAAGAGGTAAAAAGAGACAGAAAGAGACGAGAGAGAGAGGGTGGAAAAGTGTGAGGAGGCGAGCAGGAGGAGGAGGAGGCGAGATAAGGGGAGGGAAGGATAAGACAGAAGACTGCTGAGCTTTTCCTTTTTATCCTCGTCTGTGCTGCTCTCTCTGACGCTGTCTGAGGCCGGCGTGCTGCAGAATGACTCGGCAGTATCAGCACAGACAGAGAGAGACGCACAGAGCTACAGACGAAAAATATATATCCAGACAAACGGGAGGAAGAGGAGAAAGAGGAAAAGGGAGGAGTAAGGTGGGGAAAGACTGAGGGGAGGAGGAAGAGAAACAAAGAAACAGGAAATTGGAACCAGAGGAGAGGAGAGGGCATTAGGGGAAGAACAGGAGTCTAGGATAGCGGGAGAGACACAGTGGGGAAAGAAAACAAGGAAAACAGAAGAAAAGAAAGGGCGATGAGGGCTTCTCAGAGAGTGTCGAGGAGGAGAGAACAGGAAAGGCAGGAAAAGGATAAAAAGGAGAGAAAATTGAGCCAAATCAAAAGGAACAGAGAGGCCGACATGAGAGGATGGAGGAAGAAAAGACGAGACAAAAAAGGTTAGAGGCACAGGAGGATAAATAAACGTCTGAGAGAGATCAAAGATTTTAAAGAAATACACACAGAACTCCCCTTTGTTGGGTGTGTTGTGTGTGTGTGTGTGTGTGTGTGTAGGCCTCACATTATGCATTAAGAGAATTGACCTTCAGAGACAGACTGAAGCTTAATGATGGAGATAAAGATCCTGACTCACACTGTGCAAACAGCAAAAACACACATATTAGTCATAACAGCAGCTCACATAAACACTTGTACACTCATAGAAATAGTCGGTTCTCTCTAACAACACAATTAATAATACCATAGTGCCGGGGCACAACTAGACACACAACACACACACACACACACACACACACACACAAACACACACACACACACACACAACCACAACAGACACAACAAAAGACTAAAAGCTTTGCAGAGATGCGTTTATCTCAGAGTGTTTACTCCAACACAAACATGAGGCGGACAGACACAAAGAAAGGGAAACAGCTTGTTGACACGCACCAAGCAGATGGCCTTCTACCTTTGCGAGGACTCACAGATGCCTCGGTTTATCCCGACCAACCCTGAGCCGAGGATTAACTCGAGCTCCAAAAGTCGAGTCCTAACGGCTACTCTGAGGTGAGACTCAGCCACACCTTCACTCACTCACAAGACCTCAAACGCACACTCAAACACCCACAAAGACAACCAGGAGCCCACACAGGGCATAATATAAGAGCCTGGAGACCCCTCATCAATAAATCATCAGCACAGCCATTAAAATGCTGCACACACAAACACACACACACCCACACTAGTCATAATAGCAGTTCACATAAACACGTGTACACTCATAGAAACAGTCAGTGCTCTCTAACAGCACAATTAATAATCTATAGTGCTGCAGACACACACACAAAGAGAATAAAAACACACATCCTCACACACACACCTTCCTCCACAGTGGAGTCGAGCTGGGTGACTTTCACAGCCAGCTGGTCCACCCTCTCCTGCAGGCTGCTCATCCTCAGGTAGAAGCTGTTGGCTTCGTTAAACAGTTCCCCGAAAATGTCCTCAGCATGACGACCTGTACAGAGGGAGAGAAACACACAAACACACACACACACACAGTCAGAACCGCCACTTTAATATCTTTCATTCAGGGATATTTAACAGGCTACATTCACACTTCCATGTTGGCCAGCTGAACTCTGCCTCACACCGCAGGAATAAAACATGCAGCGAGAATTAAATCAGCTGGGAGAGTCAGACTGTCTGGAAAAGCAGAGCAAGCTGACACAATTAAAGACGTTCAGAGTTACTTCAGGTTTCCGTCCAAAAAGGACAAAAGAAAGTGTGATAACAGAAGGTCTACATGTATACAGTGGTCCCTCGCTATAATGCGGTTCACATTTTGCGCCCTTGCTGTTTCGCAGATTTTTTGGGGGTGCAATTTTGCTTTTTTGTGTTCTTCATCCTGATTGGCTGTAGACCACTGTCAATCAATCTCGTGCTGTGTCTCCTGTACAGTACAGAATGTGTTCAGCTGTCAACTTAACATAAATCTTCGATCGCTAGCAGTGTGACTCTGAAGTGCTGCACTGTATATTTGAAAGTTTTCTCCCCAACAAACACAACAATGTTGACGCAACCACGGGTGCCTTAATTTTTCTACAGAGGTGTGAACTTTGAGATTGTTTAAACAAGAGAGAAAAGTGTGAAAATGTTCATGCCTGTCTGAGAAAAGTGTATAAAGTGTGTACTAAAGATGGCACCATACCACTTTTTTTATGTCCGATACCGATGCCGATATCATAAATTTGGATATCAGCCGATACCGATATGAATCCGATATAGTGTTTTTTAATCAACAAAATTGTTTTTTTTTTATATCTTGCTGCATTTTGTATAAGTTCAAACTCAAGTTAAAAAACAAAAAAACACTAAAGCTATTCTGTTATACCTGTATGTAAAAAATACACTGCACCCAAAATATTTCATAGTTCAGCAACACTGATCAATCTAATAAACTTAAACCTGCACCATCCTGCCTATTCTGGTATTTTAAAGAGTCCTTAGCAGAAATATTAAGCAACCTAACTAATAGGGTTGCAAACTCCCAGCAAAAAAAAAAGAAAAGAAAAGAAAACCCCCCACCCTCCACCTCATGATGCTTAATCGACGTAATCAACTTTAATTTGATGCAGTGTGAAAAAAATGCACACAAATAAATTTTTTTTCAAGAATAATTAAATAGATTCAACATCTTTCTTCAACAGAACTGCAGACTGCACAGATGGTACCTTCCCAAAGGAAAAAGTACTACAGCTTACTAGGGTATATTAGACTTAACAGTTACTATATTCAGTAATGGACTTCTATACATTTTACATCAGATTAAAACTTTGGGTGTAAGATTCAGATAATTATTTATTAAAAGCTAGATGTTTTAAATGAGAATAAGAAAGAAAAGTATGTCTTTGTGCCCCCTTTTCCCTGTTAATGCCCTATTGGCCCCCCTGGCTAAACTTTGCTAGATCCGCCCCTGCACAGTTACAGCCGTCAGCTACGTAGAAAAAGATCCTGGTGTAGAAAGTAATATTAAATAAATTCTAACAACAGCTTATCAAGCTTAAACGTGCTGCTGTTGTTCAGTCGCTGGTTTCCTCTTTCTGGTGCGAAGTGGGCCAAAAACAAACAAGAGAGACGGACTCACGACAGAAAAGCCGATCAGCTGATCATTGATCAGTTTCATGATTGAAGTAGCAGCAGGAGAGAGAGAGATAATATTTAATCCAGATATTTAATGGATCGATTACATTTTATATTTCTCTCCGATATCTGATCCAGTAATTTAGGTCAGTATCGGACCGGTCCATCTCTAGTGTGTAGTGAGAGGTTTCATGGCCTTAAAACATCTATAATGATTGTAAAAAAAATTAAGTTGGCTATTTTGCAGATTTCACATATTATTTTTAGAATGTAACTCCAGCGATAAATGACGGACCACTGTACATACAGTTTACAGTGTGCACGGACTCACCTGTGATCAGATATTCTCCACTTTGCTTTATTCTAACCGATTCATTTCTCTGCCTTACTGTAACACTGTAAGGTAGCTCTGTATGTATGAGTTGATTGGATTTCTACTTGGAGGAAGTGTTCAGAGAGCAGTGTGCTGTCCAAATGAGGCTCTATTATAGCATGCTAGCTGTAGCCAGCTGTCTGTCCTTTCCTGTGTAAAGATGAACTGCAAAAAATAAATAAATAATGAGATGATCCTAGTCTTCATTCAGTCCTGTTTGTTTGTTAAGCCACTTATCACTGGCCTATGAATCATTCAAGTGCAAAAAGGCATCTAACTCAACACAACTCAACCAGTGTTGTGTCTACACATACCAGACAACTTAGCAAAAGGATCATTTTAAATTGTATCTCTGGGCACTTTGTTACTCGCAGCCTGTCACAAAAACCTCATTTGTTCCCATTTCTTTAGCTGAATCTATGAAAAATGTGAAAGACAAGACAAGGTGGTTCCCAAAGAGCTTTATAGGTGAAAACTTGGCAAACCTCAGCTTGCTGTGCAGGGTGTTTTCATGGAAACTGGACAAAAGAAGGACATGGACAGTATGTGAAAGTCACGTCCTTAAGATAGAGAAAAAAATCCAGCAGAAGCCTGACACGGGCCTGAGACACATCTGGACCTTCACCTGATCCATCTACTGTTCTCTGAAGCCTCGTCAGAATTGTCTAAGTTGAAGGGTGGCTGTGAAGAAGGCGTTCATGAAATGTACGAGAAGAGAAATTCAGAGATGGAGGTTGCTCCCCTCCCTCCTCCCGGCGTCTGCCTCAGCAGGACCAGCCGCCTCCTGCTGTGCACCTGTCGGACTGAATATTTAAACAGGGCCTCTCTGTCTGAGAGCGTTTGCACATCTGTGACGACAGCGGCACAAATATTTAAATGCATTTACCGAGATGCAGAACTGCAGCCTTCCTCAATAACACTGTCACCTTCAAATTGAATCACATGCACACTCATTTCAGCGTCTCGCCACCTCGTTCGCTCTCTTCTCTCGTCCTGCGTCTCCATCTCTCGGCCCACGTCATCACAGATGGAGCAGAGGCAGAGCGCTCGCTCATTTGCAGTGAGCTGTCGCTGAATATAATCTATCCTCTAACTGTTAATCGAATTTAAATAGCCTTTCCCCCCTCACACTCAATTCATTTCCATTGAAGTATGCCTCGTCTGCTACAGAGCACATCAGCTATGAATGACTTCATTGCTTTCAAATGAAGAATGTGTTTAGCTGTTCAGGGTGAGAAATTCCAATAAAGAGAATACAGAGGAGAGGACGCTAAACTGCGGGATACGATGCTTCAGAAGGAATTCTGAAAACATGCTCACCTGCACGTTATTAGACCTGATAAAAAATACAAAAATCACCTTGGATTCACCTTACTTTCACATCAATCCATCAATCACTATGGCAACTGTGCTCATCAGCAAACAACTGCTGACGCACAAACTAATCAACATATGCACGCACGGCCTTATTCACACTCAACACATCTCAAGTGGTCTGCATTAAGGAGCATGGCTCTGAATTCATTTTAGGTGTGATTGCATGTAAATGCCTAGACATGCTGGGCTCTGATTGCTCACGAGTGTTAGAGACAGACATGTAACCTACTGCGATGGAGGGTAAACAACATAGGTCCTCTTCACTACAGTCACGAAAAAAACTTTTTGTTAAAGGTGGTTAAGAGGTCCTGAATCGTGGGGTGCGCTTCATTTTTCACGGGCCTGTGAAAAACAATTTTTCAAATTATAATGTGTAACGTCTCACCACTAGATGTCAGTAAGTAAGTGAGTGAATAATCGTAGCTTTGGTGGCTTCTGTACAAACAACTGCGGTTGCCGTTCATCTGTAGTGAGTGTAGGCTTCCAGTTCGCTGTTTAGCTCAGCTGTCGATATGTGCAAAACTTTGTGAAATGAGCTGATGAGTCAGTGTGGTGAGTTGCTGAGGATATACTGAACTTCTCTGTTGGTCAGAGCTTCTATTTTTGCTGCTGTTAGCCGCTGTTAGCCGCTGTCAGCCGGTGTTAGCCGGTGTTAGCCGGTTAGCCAGCAGCTAAACTTTCTTTGAAGTGGATCTAATTTTGCTAAACTTTGACACTTATGAAATGAAAATGTAATCAAACTGTTTATCAGAGGAAAAGTATGATTTTTAGGATGCTCAAACTTAGCATAGCATTAGCTGGTAGCTGCTGTTGTTTAGCGTTGTTGTTGTCAGCTGTTTGGGGAGTGGAAGGATGATATGTCTAACCTGCTAACAATAAGTAATTGCTTCAATATTGGGAATAAATAAGCATGTTTATGCATATTTTTTGTGTTACAGCTATGACTTCAATTCAAGAGCTAAGGCTTGGAGTGAGGAGCAAGAAGAAGTTTTAACCAGATTCCAACGGTGATGTATATTTCCTTTATGTTTTCTTCTGCTTCTTTGTTTAAGCGGACCCCTTCATATAATAAAACATAGGTATGACCTTCATATGTTGAAGGTGCAGACATGGTGCCTCCACAGTACAGTTCTCTTCTCCGCCTACATCTGTACTACATACTACATCTGTAGCCGCTCTCTAGCCACTTACACACAATGCGTTTACGTGCAGCGGTTGATTTCCATCTTAACCACTGTATTCAAGAGATTTATGAGTACAACATTTTTTTTCTGTTAAATAACCTCAACAAAATGACTGACTGCAACTTTGAGTATTGACTATCTTCAGTAGGGCTGATTCAGTGAATGCTGGATAAACCAAGGCTACAGAACAGGGTTTACTGACCAACCCCAAAAAACTGCCTGGCTTGTGTCAGCAGTGCATTTTTCTTTAAAAGAGGAAATAATGTTACAAAATAGTTTTTTTAATAAAAAGCCCCTCCGCCCTCCAAAAAAAAGAGCCCCAAACCGAGCATCATATCAGATCATGCTAAAGACTCATGCTAGCATGTTAATGCTAAAATGTCGGAATGAAAACTACGTGAATGTTACAGGATGTTCTTGTGCTGAACTACAGTATACTTACTTAGACTGCCCAGCTGCTTGATGATGGCTGCCAGTGTAGTGTTGGTGACGCACTCCAGCTCACTAGTCACCCCATCTGGCAGCGCTCCACGGCACAAGTGCCGGGGCTCAATGTTCCTCTTCACCAACGGCATGCTGGTCTATACCTGAAGAAGACATTGAGACAAGGAGAGAGAGAGAGAGACAGACAGAGAGAGAGAGAGAGAGACAGACAGAGAGAGAGAGAGAGAGACAGACAGAGAGAGAGAGAGAGACAGAGAGAGAGAGAGCGAGAGGTAAATTGTTATGCGATTTTCACTCGAAACGTGCATTCGATTTCTACTAATGTTTAAATACATGACATCCTCGAAATGAGTTTACATCTCCAAAGCCGCCGGCTAACAGCTCACCTGTAGTCTGCAGAATATCTTCTAACATCAGCCAATATGCTGTTGCTCTTTATTTAAATCCCCCTTTGGGAAACACAGCTAACATCACAGCCACGTCCTGGCAGACAAGGAAGAAAGAAGGAAAGCTAAGGAAAAAAAATGGGTTGATGTTCAGCTGTGATTGCTGATGGAAACGGAGGTGTCATGTCTGCCGCGGGGCACAGTCACTCATCACGCTGCTTAATGTCAGTGCTGCTGGAATGAGCCAAGAGCCCAATGAGCCAGAAAGAAGTTTTTAAATGGTGCTAACGAGCAGCAACCGTGGTCAGAGAAGCAACGAGAGAAAGACGGAGTGACAGAAGGAGAGACGAGCTGAATATGAAAGAGGAGAGAACAGACAGGAAGTCAGGGCATGTCACAAAGAAGAGCTACATATACTGCAGATCCTGTCCTGTATGATGAAGAAAGCCAGACGTCTTTGTGCCGAGTGAAATGGGAAAAACCCAGATATATGGGAGTCAATGTAATTTAAAAAATGTGTAAGTCTATTACAGTTACTAACAGGAAGTAACAGTAACAGAAAGTAACAATAACAGAAAGTAACGCTATATCATCATATGAAAAGTTCTGTTTTTGCTTCACTATTGCACATAGTTATGATATGGGACTTAATGAAGAACTAAGTTATCACACAGTATGAACAACCTTAAAGCCTCTTAAGAATAAATTAGTGCCAAAAAGACATGAGAGACGACTGACTGGGGAACCGGTCCGTGAGTCGTTTGGTGCCGGGCCGCGAGAATTGAGGCTCAGGTGTGAAATGTGTGGTTTTCAGGGTTTTTATTGGTTTTCAGC